GGAGATCTAGGGATGATGCATTTGCAAGACTGTGTATAATATTCTAGAAAAATGCTTAGGTCATGGAGCAAAAGTTTTATAATGCTGCAGCTGCAGATTATTAAAAAGAGAACTTTGTCTTCCAAAAGAACCACACTGATTTTAATGAAAGGCACTTTCATATTTCAAATTTGCAATAGCCTTGTAAACCGCTCGAAGCAGCCCACACATAGTAAAAGTAATTATAAGCTTACAGTACACTAGTGGGCTGACATTTCAAAATGCAGACAAAGAGAATTCTGTTTCCTAAAGAAAAAATTTTCAAAAGGCAGAGTTCACAGCATTGAGTACATTCAGGGAAATGGATACAATGAAAGCGAACATCTTGGTAAGTATAAGAGAAGCTCAAAAGAGCCAAATGCAGTGATGTGACTGTAGCTGGTTAAAATGCTACTTGGTGAGTGACGGCCAAAGTGAAAACAGGGTGCTTTATGTTAGCCAGATGCTCAACTGTGTTATTATATAGAATGTTTGAGGTGTCAACAACTTCTCTGTTCACTGCTTTAGACCTTTACAAACGTATTTTCAGAATGAGATGACAACGCAGCTCTCCTGTCCACGTAGGTGTACTATGTTTAGAAATAAGCTCTTTTGCCCCCTTAGCTTCAGATCTATTTATAAACTTACCACAGCTGTCTCAAGGTCTCCTGGTGAGGGGCTGATTTCGTCAGGGGAAGTTACAGAAGAGCGAGTCGTGCGTGGAGTTCGTGGAGAAGGGAGTGTATCCCAAGCGTTGTACCCACTTGGAGGGGGAGTTGGCATCTGAACCCCTGAACGCTGGCAGCAGTTCTCCGGATTAGACATCCATGCTTCAAGTAACTTCTCCCTGTCCCAGTCTTCAATAAATATACAGATACAGGAAATTATGCAGCTGACAATGTTTTTTGTAACTGCAGCCTCAAAAGAATACATAAACACCAAGATAAAATATTTAGAAATAAATAAATATGATTAAGTGTAAGTGAATGGAACTTTAGATATTAAATTTTACAGAACACATTGCATGATAACACATAATGCAATGTATTTATGTAAATAATTGTATCGCAAGCACCTCCTTTCCCTGTAATATCAGTCTTAAATAAAATTACTTTTACTATTTATTTACAGCAATTGTAGTAGCTAGCAGAGTCAATCAGAAACAAGAACTGCAGTGACTTGCAAAGACACATCAAAATACAACAGCCTTGCACCACAGAATTTTCAATATTTTCTCTTTCTATGAAAAAAGTAATTGTTCAATATGGATTCACTTCCAGCTATTGTGTTTTTTAAGAAGATGAAGCCAAGTGCTACAAATGAAGGAAGAAGACTAAGATACAATTGGATTACAAAAAGATTTGTGACCTAATGAGTTACCAGTCTTTATATATGCATATGAGAGTGATATATTTCTGGGGAAAAAAAGAAAAAAAACCCACCTGATTGCAAAAAATATTTCACGATTCTTACTACATTTTTATTATATAATTGTTACTGAATGCTCTACTTTTATTCATAATTAACATTGCCCATTTATATACAAAAAAGAACTAGTAAAACAAATTTTATTATGTATGAAGATCTTAAAACTAAATAAAATCTTTTTTAATCATTGCTTGAAATGTTTTCTGTTTCCTATTCCAAAGAGTAATACTAAAGATATCTTAAGAATAGTGGGTTTTTTCTATTAAAATACTTAGAAGATATCATTTAAATATAAATCTTATCCAATTCCTATATGGATTTGAATCTAAAACCATTAATATTATGCACAGATCAGATGAACTAGAATTTTAGAAGGAAAGAGAAATTTCCCAATTTTTTCCTATTGCTTTAAATAAATATTTTAAGGTTTGGTTGTTTTGTTTTTGTTTTTTTGTTTTTTAACGTTAGGTACTCCCACTGGAAACTCAACCAAAAGATCTATTATTTTTATTGAGTTTTATGTTCTATCAGAAAAAGATAAATAGTATCCCTATACTGCATTAATGCTGGACAATAAAAGACAAGAATTCTAAGCACTGAACTTAGTAAAAATATTGCCCCTGTCAAGTAATGATTGCTATCATACTAAAATCTGCTCCCACCTAATATGAAAAAAATATTTGAGCTGGAGATGATTTACTGATCAGGTGCTTACTTATCTAAGCTAAAACATATCATGGGTTAGTTTAATTTCATTTATTGAAAGACATGGACCCTTAACATATTTACACTTCAAAAATTATAAATTTTATTAGCATTTTTCAAATTGCCCTAAGCTTATAAACTTTCAGAGGGGAGCTGACTGATGCTAAGATACAGATAAAATTTGCTAAGTTTTCTTGAGCTCCTTTGTTTCTACTGTAAAATTACCCAGGGTTAAGACATGCTACTGAATGGATTCCACTGTGTTTTCTTTACTAACTTAGGAGTTTTAGTAAAATATGAGGTAGTTATATTTGCTGAATTGCCTCTCTTTTATCCTGAAATCAGCTGCTGTATAATGAACTAGAAGAGAAACAGGAGTAACATTGAAAAAGTACTTGTAGAAAAACTGTAAAGTTATTTATTTTCATGACTGCCATAATAACATTTTTTTATCTTGGCTCCAATTCTACATACTTCTGTCTCTTAATTTAAAAAACAAAAGAAAGAAAAACACACTCTTAACTCTTACAGTCTGTGTCAGTAAACTGATATAGTTGTAAGATAAAAGAAAGCAAAGTTTATTAGATTAAATATTATGTCTGCAAACTACTAAAAGTAGTACATAAGAATGATCTTTCCAAGAATTTAAAACATGCTTTTCATAAATTGTGAATTATGTTAAGATTTCACATTATTCTTTTATGAATTTCAAGATTAAATGCAAAAACGTTACAATTTGACATGTGATGTTTCCCAATTGTCTAAGCCTTCGTAAATAGCTCAGTTATACCCTTTACTAGGTGGAACCAATTCTGTGTCTTCATTTCAAATAAAATAAATTCTGTTTGAATAATTTCCAGTGTATGACTACAGCTACAGGCAAAATAGTTGACTTTCTCATGACTTGCAAATTGTCTGTGCTTCTTTCTCCGCACTGGCCAATTGCATTAAGTTACCGCTACATCACTACGGCAACATCAGTAGAATGACCTTTCCAACACAGACTGATTTCTTCTCAACTTTCAATTCCTGCTTGCTAGACGCTGGCAGACATTTCTGCACAGTTTACATCAACCTCACTGCTTTAGGACTTATTAAGGACCGTGCTGCGAGTTTGAACAGTGCTGCCACCGTTTTCTTCTTCAAAATATCTGCACAGGTTACAGAATCTGCCTACCCACTTAGTCAAATATTTAGTAATATTTAGCTTTAATGAGAGTACTTTGAGAATCCAAAATAGCATTTGAATATTGCACATACTATAAATACATTTTAAGAATTAAACACATAATCAACATTAAAAAAAATACATGCAAAGACTGTGCTTTAAGTATCATCAGACTGGCACAAGTTCATGTTCACTTAATTCAATGTTAAAAGGAACACAAATACCAACTACTGAAAAGAATGTAAAAGAGATGAGTTCCAGGTACCATACCTCCTCATGAAAGTCTGCCAAATGTTGAGGGTTTAAAACAGTATTTTCCTTTTTCACTTTTCCCTCTCCCTTTTATTTTCATGAGGACCCCACAAAATAGGGTATGAAAGCTTAATTCAGCAATAGGTGATGAGCATGCAAACCATTAACTACCTAAGTAGTTCTTTTGGTATATAATAACAATGCAAATGCTCTAGTAAGCATTAATTTTGAATCACTGAATCAAAGCCTAAAGTTTCCACTGAGTTTCCGAGATACTTTTGCCTGGAGTGAACACGCTGAATTCAGTATATTCCCATTCTGACAACCCCAGTTTAAATTACACAACAAGAGCACAGACTGATTTCAGTGAAATTAAACTAGCTACAGATACACATACAGAAAAGTATACCCTGTATTAAAAGAGTAACTATAAAAATCGTTCAAAGGATATACACTTGTATGCTTTAAACCCCAAGGCAATTTCTAACCATTTATTACAATGGTCAGACTGCTTTTATTGCAACAATAAATAAATAAATAAATAAATAAATTTGATCCAGTTTTATACATGAATATATAGTGGCAGAAAACCAATGGTCTGACAAAAATAGGTACAAGGAATTCGACTTTTTTGACATATAAAACCATGGAAGTTCTACTTCCATGTCTCTCAATAAAATAGGAAAGCTCTGTTTCTCCACCCTGCCTAGGTTAAAGTGTTTTCCATTATTATTCCTAGTTTGAAAGACTTTCCTATCAGTTCCTCTGTCTGCCTCAATGCTTTCGACATACTGCAGCTGCACTTCTTTCTGAAGTACTGTGTGAACTGTTTCCTGGTATTTGATTAACTGTTACTTATCTTTTACTTGGAAATAAAAAGTAAACATACAACTGCAATTTTGATTTTTCTGAAAACAGTTTATCTAGTCTTTAAGGTTTTGGATTACCATGTGCCCGAAGTAGAGCTTCCGCAGTGAAAAGTGGGGCTTGGAGCATGTCAGCAGATTCCACAATCAGCATATCCTTAAGCCTTCGCAGGTCCTGAAGTCTTAGCCCCTCATATGGCTTTGAGAAGAAGAAAGACAATTTATGTCCAGCAGTATTTTCCAGATAGTCTCTTAATTCCACATTAAAATGAAAACATTCAAAGCACTTTTACTGATCATCTTCTCCACTGTGAGGTAGTAAGTGACAGTGACCATGCAAAAGTTATACAGAACCACTGCCGTTTTACAGTATTTCTAGTATGATCTTTGTACATTTCAAAATCTAAAAGACAGTATCTCTAGAGTTCTCCATTTTAGTTGGAGGCCATGTTCAAATGACGAACTAGCCTAACATTGACTCTCTCTCTCAGAAAAGCTAGATTTTAACAGAATCCAGCTGAATTTTGAAGTGATTAAACCTCAAATATTGTGGCGTGGGTATGAGAATGCATGACTAGATTTGAACCAAGGATTTCAAGGGAGAGCGAGAGAAAGGACAGGTTAATATACGTTGCATATAGATCTGCTGACACTAACTTTATACATGAATTCAGACCTATTAACTTTGAATTGGTCTGGAGAAGGATACACTGAGACAGACAGTAAGAAGGGATACATTTGTGAACAGAATCAGGTACAGGTCTTTTATGGCAGTATCACCCCTCACAGAAATGTAGAAGTCAGTCATGAATAGGATAGATGAGAGATGTAGTTAGAGGTTCACAGAAACACAGAATGGTTGCGGTTGGAAGGGACCTGCAGATGTCATTTGGTCCAACCCTCCTGCTCAAGCAGGGTCACCTAGAGCCAGCTGCCCAGGACCGTGTCGAGATGGCTTTTGAATATCTCCAAGGTTGGGGATTCATTGTACACAAAGATGTCAAAACTCTCTTTGAGAAACAGTGGCCACCTCTGACAGCCCTACGTAGTCAGAGCAGATCATCCAGCTGCCTTCTGGGTCTGGAGCTCCATCCCCTTATTACAGCGTTTAAAAAAGGTCAAATTAGAAAAACAAAAAGGCAATAATTTTAGGATTCTGAATTAGGCCCAACCAAGATAGTGGAGATGCATACACATGTTTTGCAGACTCTTTTGTAAAACTAAGAAAGGAAGAACATGACAGCAAATAACATATTTGTTAGTGTTGCACAGCGAAAATGCCCAAAAGGGAGAAAGAGAAAAGCAGGTGGGAGGATAAAGAGAATGGATACAGAAAGGCTATGTAAAACAATTATTCTTACATGCACTGGTTTTGTTTACATACAGGATAGCTAACAAAAAATTTAAAGCATTTGACATAAAACTGACATGCTGAGGACTAATTAGGAACCTGGCCACCAATGGCAACTGTCTTCACCAATTTGGAGAAGGACACAGCAGCAGCGGTAACAGATAACGGCAGTTAAAACTGTGTATCATTATTATTTACTATCTAGTTTTTTGTTTTATGAAGAGCGTAGTCCGGGACTCTCCAGTGCTAGATACTATGCAGACACATGCATGCATATGTACATAAACACAAAGCAAAAGACTGGTTCTGTCCTTGGAAGTTTGCAATCTAAGTAAAAGTCTACTGTGTGCATAATCCTTTGAGGATAACAAGCAGAAGGCAGAAGAGATGGGGAGAATGGATACCCCGGGCTTCTAAATTATTTGGTTCTTTTGAGACACCTACTCTAAAAACATAGCATGCTTCCTACATTCTAGATATCATAATAAACTCTATAAAATGCACCTAAAAATATAACCGACTTCCACAAGGACCTCTTCTGTTAGCTAGTCAGTAAAATAAACAGGAATTTCTTGGTATTAGAAACTTTGTGATTGGCAAGAGTAATGGTGCCATGGCTCTGCGTTGGGTATTTGTCCTTTTTGAGAAAGCAAGAAAAGCAGAAGAGAAATGGACTGTGAGCGTCCTGACCTTTATCTTGATTGCCCAAGTTCAGGGAGTTTCTATATGTCCTTCCATTGCTGATCATGCATGACTCAGTAAAGGACAATCTGAACGTTAATGGCTTGCACTGAAATAAATCTGGGCCACTTGATTCATAGCATGCTGGAATTTGACTGACCTACTTAATTTCTTACAAAAGAGATCATTTATAAAAACATGTCAGAGAGACAGGATACAAACAGCTGGGTGCCTGAATGATTATAATTGCGTGAAAATACTGCAAAAAAAATAGAAGCAAAGAGTAAATCGTCTTGACTGAATCTGAACTGCATTTTGAATTGCAATTGCAAAACAAGTAGCTTTGTCAGCACAACAGTACTCCATTCTTGAAGACCACATATATCATAAAAATAAATGTCTCTGTTAAACCTGCAACATATATGCATATTTTAGGACCTAGTATTTTATCCTGAAATGCAGATATGCTCAAAATTATATTTAACTGATTGGTTCTAGGTCAAACACTGGCAAGTATCTCCCTTGAGTAACAGACTATTATATTATCTCAGCTGGAGCACTCCACACAACCCAGCAGGGATTTTTGGATCCTGTGGTTTTTAAGAATCCTAATTTTATCTTTTAAAGTAATGAGGGAAATATTTCTTAAGAATGTGTTAGAAACTTCAGACATTCGTTTCGTAAAATAATATATTTGCCCACAGAAGACGCTGAAAGAAAGGAAATTTTAGGCTGGCACTATTAAATAGCTTAATCTGGAAATTCCAAAGTGAAGGCTTTACACAATGAGAACCCGCAAAATGTTAACGTGCACAAGACATAGTCTTGTAGAGACTTGTGAAGACACAGTCTTTAGTTATAAGGATGTATATCCTTTATGTAAGATCATAGAGGCATAGAGGTTTCCTTTTAACTACTTCAAACATTGATGACTTATCTCTGCACTGCCATATACTTTAAAGGATTTTGATTTTGATGCTGAGAGCTTCTTTAATACTTATTTACGGAGGAGCTCTTTATTGATATTTGCTGTGGAAAAGGCATTGTTCAATATTAGCATCATTTAACCATATAGTGATTTTGGAATATACTATTTGAGTTATTACTTTAATACATTGGTGAGCTTCTCGCTACAGATTTCAACTATTTTCTTCTTGATTTTTTACCACTAATCTTTAGATATCATAGATTATGTAATTGTTTTTCTCCTGAAAGTACTTTTAATATGTAAGCTGATCATTTTAACAGTTCATTTCCTCATTTATGGGTGGATGGAGTTCTATAGTTAAAGGAGGAGTCATATATTTTAAAAAAAATCTATACTCCATTTATCTCATTCAAATATATGCACTATATGTATATAAATGTATATGTATAAACTACCTGTAGTCCCCTTCTCTCCTTTCACTTACTACACCATTCTCTATCTGTAGCGATAAAGTACATTTTAAATAACTCTTTGTATTTATGATATTTGCATTAGGTATATATTTACATAATGTCAATTCTGGAACTGAAGAAAACCATTCCCATTACTATACACTCAATAAATCTGTGATACGCTCACTAGCAGTGTATTTCTACAGTATTCAGTGGCACTTATGTAAAATGAACTAAGAAATTATATACTTTGCTATTGCACCATGTATTTCACTGAGCCTGACTGAGAGCCAAAACTGTTCTGGATGATCTGCTCTGAAGTACTGCTCAGTCCCAGGTGTTTCTTATGTAAGTTTAAAATGCTGCGTGATGTGACTGAAATGAAGGTGCCTGTTATCTTCCAGGGATACATCACCAAGACAAAATATGCTCCCATCCTAGAATAAACAGCAAATTAAAAGACCGTGCAAATAAAACAACCAAAATCTATAAAAGCAGTTTAAAAAAAAAATCAGTTACAGTCATATTATTTAGTGTAAGTTCAATTAGATTTGAAAGATAAATATAAACTTAGATTTTATATAACAGAGGGTTTTTTTTTGGAGATTGTTCATCAACAAAATAAGAGAAAAGAAGACAAAGGAGGTCATCTGAAATACTCTCCTGGCTTATTTTCTACCACCCTTTCCACAGCCCACGCATCATAGACGGATCTTCTTTTGCTACAATTAACTACAGTGTTAAGAGAGACACACTTTATACTCCATTCTTAAAACATTTAGCATTTCCATTTTATATAGGGAAATACAGATTATGTGTGTGTTGGTACGTTGTTTCCCTTCCAAACTGCATTTTGTGGAAACACACTTAATAATCACGTTTGTGTTTCAAGACTAACAGGACCTGTTTGCTACTCATCTTTAACTGCAGTCTCTAATCTGATCACTAAAAATGTCTGAGGTGTACTAAAACCAAAGTAAAATAGAAATGTTGCTTTAAAAAAATGCTTCAGAGAGCACTGTACTAAAATGAGATTTTAAAAGGTTGGGTAACCGTAAGACAGAAATGGATTTTATTCAGAAACTCTTTTGGAAGGAGTAAACTGAACTGCTGGAAGATGGAAGGTCTTTGCTGTCAGGCTCTCAAACTTGAAATGTGGGTATACTCAGCAATCTGTATTTCTTAACAGCTTGAGAGCCTCTGTAATGAAAGAAAGGTATGTGCAAGTTATTTTTTCCACTATTACAAGTGTTTCAATTCTAAACAGGAGCACTCACAGAATTCCTTGGTAATATTTCAACGTGAAGAACACCACAAACTGGTTGTCAACATCAGAAACAAAGCTTTGTTTTTACTCTGAGTATACACACTTAATTCAATGACACTGCACAGAGCACTACAAAAATCTTTTGCTCTGTATGAAAAAGAGGGTTGCTTTCTCCTGTAAACATGGCAGGTCTGGAAGGGGAGGTACTGGGTACTATCATTCCAGATACTACTGCATGTATCATAAACACCAGAGTTAAGCCCGTTTGGCTGTTTTGCTTGGGAAGAAATGCTATTAATAGTTTTCAAATATTTTATTTTTTCCTCTAACCTTCATTCAAGGGATGAAATGACTTTTAACATGCATTTCTTGCTGTTCCAAAGTTTTTTAATTCTTTATGAATTATCTTTTTCTATTTTGGAAGGATGTTAAAGGACATCACCAAACAATTACAATGTAAATACTGTGTTAAACAAGCATTTTGCACACTCGCTTCCATCAGCGTTTAATATTTTTTAAGAATGAAATTGAGAGAAAAAAAATAGAGGGCCATCTTTGAGGGCCAATTTTGGTGAAGGATATGTGTTCTATGTAAGGCTTTTGCACCACTTCTCATGCCCCACTAAGATAACAGCTGGAGGCATCACCATAGTCAGTGGTAAGTGCGGCTGTCACTACCCATCCCAGACGTTTGCCCACAGACCTGGAGGATGAGGACACGTAGCCACTTGGATTGCAGTTCAGTGCTGGTCTTTCTAAGGCTGTTTTTTTTTTCAACTGGTTTTGGCCACTCTGAGGGCTAAGATGGAAAAATGAACTTCTCCTGGCTACACGCTCTTGGCATTTCTCTTGTGCTAGCACTTGTGCTCTTACAGTTACACAAAAAGTTAGAGAACTTACACCACTGAAAAACTACAAAAAAAAAAGGGGGGATGAAGGAGGAAGGGAGCACATGTAGGCAGAACTGCTCTATGTGAAGGCCCAAGACCACCAATCAGTGTACCAAATTCCAGGCTGACATTTTTTGGCTTGTGAATCCTTAGAACATGTGGGAAAGCTGCCCTGGTATGTCAGCTGGAACTCGGTCTGCAGGCCTGCCTGCATTTCAGTTCTCACGCTCAACAACTTTGCTAAAAACAAACCAAATGAGGAACGGGACTGTATCTTTTAACAGCCACAGAGAAGTGATCCCAAATTAACATAACTACCTTTTAATCAAGTCCCTTGTCAAGTCTTTAAGCTGATTTTGCTCTGTGCACCTGCCTTCAACAGTCACGAGACATTACTTTCTCTTGCCGAAAAGCCTGTTCAAGTGGTTCTTGATTTGCCTCACCTATATTTGTAAGTTGATTATTCTCTTAGCCATGCTGGTGCATATGCCAGCAAAACCATGGTATAAATATAACGATAAAAATTATTCAGGTTACATAAAACAATTACATACTACCACGCTTTAAAACTTTTTCTTCTATGCCAAATCATCACTATGATTCAGTTGACAGCATAACCAGCTACTTGTACAACAAAAGGAGTGGTAAACTGTAATCATGGCAGGAAACTGCAGCAGTCCTTTAAAGTGGTTCTGCCAACAGAGAACATATAATTTCAAACTATACTCTTACAACAATTTGGGTGTCTGTATATGGGAATATTCAGAGAAAATAAAATAAGTTAATTACATTTGTTATTTCAACATACAATTCAAGTATACTAAACCTCATCTCGAAAACTCTCATCTAGGAATAGACAATCTCATTATGCTTGTTTATATTTGAATTTATTCAAGAAAATTATTCAGAAAATTAATTAAACAGTACAAAGACTTTCTGACTTTCAAATAAAAGTGACCATGCATGGTATTTTTCAGGGAAACAGTTGATGTGATGTAAGCCTACTCATAAAAAAATCTGAATTAATTTTCTTTTAAGTGTCATTAGGTCATAATTGGGCTAAGCTAGTAAAAGGCACGGCCATGCTACTTCTGAAGGGAGTAGCCATACAGAAATCTGTTGTCCTTTAATTTACACAGAAATACTTTGTACTATTTACTGAATCATGTAATTTATCTATGTATTCTGATTTAGAATTGTTCGTTAATGGATAGGGGAGGGAACTTTTGCTCAGAATCTTTTTGGTCAAATTCTCCTTATCAAATCACAGTCTTCTGTAAGGCATACCAGAATTCAAGCAAATCTGTGTCAGCGAATTGTCTCTCTCTTTCAAAAATTGACTTCAGAATAACAATGCCTGTTATTACCCGTTTTTCATACAAGTTCTGGTATGCAGTAGCTTCAGGCATCATGTTATAAAACAAGAAAGTAAATGCACTGTTTTGAAATCCTGCACTACTCAGCTGGTTTTTAGTGACATTCAACCCAGTCTCAGTCTAGCCAGATCCACCAGAACGTTTTCGCTATTCTATCCCACAGATTTTCTCCTTTTTGGAATTTCTCCTGCCCTCATTTTCAGGCAGAAAGACATCTTAAGAAATATAAATATGCAAAAAATGTTTGGTTTAGAGAAACTGTTTCCAAGCTTACTGGCCTCACTGTATTTCCTCCAGCCTCACAGCCTTCAACACTTTCAAGACAGTCCATGTAATTAAGTATATGAATAAAACTTCTCTTTAGTTTTGACAATGTATTTATTATGTTCTCTGAGCTTAACTTGAAAGCTATAAAGAACTGTGTTAAAATCAAACGGCTTACAAATACACAGTACAATGTACAGTACCTACTGAAAAACTTTGCAGAATTTTGTCACAATGTAACGGCTACAAATATAAATGTGTAAAATACCCCAAATTTAAAGTATCCTCTGACCTCTTTTTTGTCTAAAGCAGCATATTCAGCTTCAATGCTTTCAGCTTCAGGATCACGTGAAAATACCATCCGAGATTCCAGGTTAAGAGCCAGCTCTTTGTGGTGTTGTTTCTCTGCGCAGTCACATGGGGTATCTTTATTTTCATTTTCTGCAAACAAATCTCCACCATGTTTTACTAGAAGCTGAAAAGTAAAATGCAATGTAAACAGTTACTAATTACAAGCTCTAATAATACCCTGAAGAAAAGACACGTCAGTTAAGAAGAGAACAAAAAAAAATATGAGCAAGAAAAACAGAAAGAAGGGACAAATATAATAGCAGTCATCTTTGGGAAACAAAGATTGTCTATTGTTATTAAATAAACTACTGCTTGATTTCATACATAATTTTACCTATACCCACCGTAACTCCATGGAACCACAAAACCTCAGAAATATGTTACAAGGCAATGCTGTACAATTTGTCTCTGTTGGGTTTCAAACACTAAAATTCTGCTCTGCTGATACGGATAGTGCTCCACAGAAAATGAGGGGTCTGAGGTCCTCAAGCACCTGCCCAGATGAAGCTAGAAACACCTTTAAATATTCTTTATATATGGGTATAACTCCACCATTCTTCACAGCCCTGGTACACTGGTGGTGACAGAAAATGAGAGATTCCTTTGGTAGGAGGAAAGATGGGGTACCAATTCGCAGATAGCACATAATACTTCTGGTAGCTTTACCGTAGTTTTGAGGACAGGAGAAAAGTGGAATGAAATAATTCTAATTCTAATAATTCTAATATGCTCTAGTACTGTGCCATTTCACCAACCTTGTCTCTTGCCAATAACCACCGAGAAATGCAGTCTCTAGCTAATAAACACTAATTATGCTGCTCTCATTACCTTGCCAACCTTGCCTCCTGCTATAAACTGATCTGACATAAGCAAGGACAACAAATGCCACAGATATTTAGGGCCAACAGTGGACAATTTTGCTGATTTATTATGACATTTTTACAACATGTGCTAAACTTTTAATGATGGGGCACCCAGGACAATCATTCACTGCTAAAGTGATTCATCATGTTTCTAAATAAAACTATAACCTATTAACATTATCTTGCCTTCAGACCATGATGGCTGTAACAACACTAACCTGTATTTTTAGGCAGGATATTTAAAAACTCAGCTTCTAATTTTTACACTTCTATAAAAATAATTAAAAAAAAAATTCCTCAAAATTATCTGTTTTTCATATAAACCTTTTAGACCATGATCCGTCACTTCTTACTTTTCTCTTCAGCAGACTGTGTTTCCTTCACCTGTCACTGTAAAACACAGAATGTGTTTTACAAACCTGCAATCACTCTTGTAGATTCTCTGGAAATTTTTCCCACATTCTCCAAAATAAAAAGAAATTCAAACCCCCAAACCCCACAAACCAGTGTAATAACAAGATTTAGTCAAGAAGATATTAGTATCATTAAGTATGACACCATATTTTATCTTCACAGCAGAGTATCAGGCAGAAATAAAGACAATACTAGGATAACTATCAAGATACGCAGCCTACAGCTACCTTGTTCTATCTAAACCTAACATTGTCAAAACTTAGTTAACTTGAGTTTCACATTCTGTCTGTACATTTTAAAATCTAGCAGAAATTTAACTGAGGCAACTAAGACACCTTCTGAGAAAGAAAAATAATAAATATACTTGAAAGAACACTCCATAGCAGCTCAAAATCTAATCTGCAAGATGAGGAATATGCAAATCAAGTTTTTAATAATGATACCATATTTCTCTGGAAGCACTGTTAAAAAGGCTTGTGTCTCTTAAGTAATTTAAAGGACATTAATAATTTAAATAATCACATTAATAATTTAAAAAAATCACAAAAATGCCATTTAATATGCCAAATGTGCTGTGACAGAGTGGAATATATCTGCATAAAATCAAATCTATTCAGCATGAAAGTTAAGTCTTTTTTCTATTCAGTACTTTGAGGTAAATACATTAACTTTGCCCAAACTATCTTTAGCAATGGGTTTCACACAGCTGTTCTGCTCAGACAAGAAATTTAACACGGGAATGGAGAAGTATCGGAGAAGTATGAAGGCAGCACATTTGACTATCGGCTCTGAACAAATCAACAACTAGGTGCTTCATCCACAAGGGCCTATGTTTTTTCCTTTCTTTATGTGGTTATGGTGGGGATAGGGGAAGATACAAGGCTGGGTTTTTCCTGAAAAGTTATGGAAAAAGAAGGAGACAATTAAAGAGGAATGCTGCTCTGAAGTGAGAGTAACCACCACAAAACTGGGCAAAAGGCGGTCCTGGGGTTCTACATAACCTTCAGTTTACTGGAGAGAGGGAAGATGACTTGAGGATTCGGCAATTCAGTTTTTAATCTCTTTTTATTTTGTTAAGAATTTTAATCCTCCAATACTTCCAGGAACAAAGAGATCATTATTAAATTGCTTTTGAGCTTTTCATAATGTAGCGTTCCTGCTCATAATCCTGTTCCTGTTGAGGAGTTAGAAGGACTACAGACTATACTGAAGGACTTCAGATATCTCAGATACTAATCTTAGGATTCAAGGTCTTCTACCTTATGGCAGGGCACATAATGAAGTTTGAACTTGGGGGTATACTCTATGTTTCTTATGTAGAAACCATGACTAATTCGACTGCATCCAAACTTTGGCAAATACCAATCCACGTGGATCAGACTGTAAATTCTTCTTCAAAGACAAACTGAAAGAAAATTAAGAGTCTGAGATGATTTAGTCAATTGAACAGTATGTATTGTCATGATAAGATAACCCAGTTTATATAATTAAATGGGGAACCGGCAGTCTAGTAGCTGGATTCGTCTAATGAATCATATCACAGATAGTGAGAAATAGAATGATAATTTGTGAAGAAACACAAACCATGAACTTTCATGGTGAGTTTAAAACCAATTGATTTTACAGTCTGCAGTTGAAAGCAGCAGCCCAGCTCCAGAACCGCAATTCACTCAGCAGTGACTGTGATTCTTTCCGATGTTATAGTCTGCCTGGATCTTACCATGTGAGCCCATTTGCTTCATGGTCTTGAAACTGAAACTTTTGAACAACTGTGTCTACCTCTAATTGCACTGTATAGCCCCATTTGGGGGCGTGAAGGCCGAATGACTGAGGCAGGAGACTCCTTGCTCAAATCCCTTGTAAACCTGAGGTCTAAGTCACCTGGGGATCTCAAGTGAAGAGAGAGAGAGACAGAAGACAAAGGAATAACCGTTTCCATGGACAACATGGTTGTTCTTTTTTTTTGCAGTATATATTGATATGGGTCCAACTGTAAGCACTTTACAAATCAGGGTAATAGACATAATATTTCACAAAAGTGAGTAAGCAAGCTTGTAAATACCAGAAATTGAAATATGTTGGATACTGATTACTAAACTTTTCTTCTGTCTGCCATTTCTCTACCAGAAGCAATCATTCTCACGTCAAATCATTTTATGTTAGTGTTTTGCACCAACTTCGCTCAAAGAGGTCGTTAAATGCTAAACCCTGATTCTCCTGGTGGAAATCACTAAGCATGTAAATAATTTCTAGGGACATGTTGAAGACAAACTGTTAGCATGGAGCTTGCGGATCTGTAACAACATGGGGTAGAGAAGAGACAAGATACAGGGGCAAGATTTAGGCTGTGATACTGGGGGTTAAATATCAGCATCTAACAGCAGCATCCTCTCAACTCCTCTCAGTACTGAGTAAGGGACTACAGAGACAGAGGCGTAAGTTATAGCAAAGAAAATGGCATATGGAAGCTGAGTTTCTATTCATCAGAAGGTCAAAAAACTAGGAAGGATGATGTTTACACTAACAGAATGAAAGAAGTGTTGGCTATTGGAAATTAAAAGACACTATGTGAGCTTTTAAAGAGTAGACTAATGAAAAACCAGAAGACAAAGAATACTATCCAGTTCAAGATTGTGCCCAGCTAAGGCTGGGGAATTGAAATGACAGATTTTAAACGAGTATTTTCAGACAGTATGTGGAAATTTGACAGAATACAATCAGTGTAATGAAGTAATACCAAAGAACATATGTAAGAATCACAGAGAAGTTCAAAGTATTGGAAGGGTGGTGCTTACCTTTTTCGTAAAATAACTCCACCAAACCCACAGATAAATAAACTAACTCTATCAACAAATACAAGAGAAACCCAGTGGTTTTCCACTTTCTGGACTTAAACAAAAAAAGCTTTGGTGACTGTCTGACTGATACTGTAACACTAAAAGTGACATGCTGACCAAGAACAGAAATGCTGCAAGGGCAGAAACCACAAAAATAAAGGGAACTTCAGTCACTGAGTCTCCCAGGTATATTAAGAAAATGTTATGCTAACACATGATGCATAAATTAAAATTTCAGACTACATAAGTGACTAAATAATAGACAAACTAGTTAGCAAACATGAGTGGAAAAGCAACTCCTGACTTTGTCCAGAGTAGTCTACTAGACCTAATTCAAAATATTACCATCAAAGAACCTCTCAATAACAATTCCCAACACGTACTTTGGTTCACTATTCTTGCAGAAGCAGAAAGAAGACAAATAATCCACTGCCTACTTTCAAAAAGTGGTACTAAATAAAAGAGTGGAAAAAAAAAGTCTAGAAACATCAGAAGAATCTGTGAAGGTAGAACAAGGGGATAAAATGGTACAGGAAATAAGAAACTGAAGTTGTCTCCAGATGAAGAAAATGTAAGGAAGAAAGTCTGGACAAGGTAAATGTAAAATCACAATAAAGAAGGTTCTGAATGTTTTTTTGAACAGTATGCTAAGTGCATAATAACTCAGAAAAAATAATTTTAAAACATCACACAGGAAATCTGTCAATGTGTTTGCAAAGTCGGTCGTGGGACAAAGTGCAAAAGCAATCTCAAATAACATAAAACAGAAAAGTGATATGAATCATTGGAATCCAGACCCTTTGTGGATGTACCACACATGCCTTATGAAGCGGACAAAAGAAAGTTTGTTTCAAATTGACGTCTCAGCGCAAGAGAACAACCACTAAACCAAATACTAATATAAATACCCCCAGTACCAGTTGCTATTTATTCATGAGTCCTAATGGAACTCAAATATAAAATTTCTTAACTATTTATTACAATATGCAATTTATTGCTTAAATCTGTCGTGGTACAAGATTAGAAGGCGGCAAAAATATTACCATTACTAAAAATATCTCCAGAGAAAATCAGGAAAGTACTGGGAGAGCATCAGTTTTTACTGCAGAGAGGGGTTGCCAGAGAAGTCCCACAGGTGCTGGAACCTAACTGTTTAAGATATGCAGAAGTTATCTAGAAAAGCAGGTGAATAATGAGGTGATAAACTTTGCTGATAATACTAAGTTTATGAGTGTAGCCTCAATAAAGATATACACAGTAGAAAAATAACTTAAATTTTACATATAAATGCTGAACTCTGAACTAATCATTACCATTCAAAATACAAATCTTGATGCTATAATAGCCTTATGAAAATGTTAGCCGTTTTTGAAAACGTTCTTGTTTTCTTTAAATTAAATTACCAACATAATTAAATACTAGTCCACATTACTTGGTATAGTCTAAAAATAAATTTGATGGGAGACTTTCAAAGTCATTACGATTCCCAATTACTCATTACTATCCACTACATTCACAAACATTAAAGTAATTTTTCATTTGTAAAAAGGTAATTATATTGAAGAATGTTGGCACAGATGTATGGCATCCTCTAAAAAAGCTGGGCACTGTAAATTAAAGACATCGAACCTGTCCTTAAAACATGGACAGCGTTTCTCAGTCTCAGCTGGAGCAGAATAAAAAGAGCTCTAATTTTCTCTCAGGCAGTTATTTCACTTCTCTTTACACATACAGGTATGCCTATGCCTACCTTTAAAGCTTTTGCTCCAGTGTTACAGTCTTGTAATTATTTCCAATTTTTATAAGCCTATGAGTCTTCTTTGTGTTGAGTTTATGTCATAAGTTAATGTATATGTAATCCATTTTTTCCATTGTTCTCTATAGACAGTGTACGTTTTGCACTGTTTATCTTTGTCATTTTTCCAATTAATGAAAAATAGAATTAAATCGTTAATTCAATATGCTATATCAGATTCTTTTCCCCTGAAACAGCTTTGTGAAACACTGTGCATGTCATGTACTAATAGCAGTATACAAACTTCTGATTACGTATCAACTTTTACCTCGACACAGGTTTTCATCCCTGAGGCAGCAGCATAGTGCAAAGGTGTATTTTTTTTGTTATCAACAGCATCAATGGCTGCTCGTTCATATTGTCCTTCATCCAGCTTTGCTCCCTTCCACTTCAGGATCATTTGCAGACAATCTGCTCTTCTGCAGTCATCTTCTGAGGGTCGTGTCAGGCGAGGATGGAGAGCTCCTTCCGAGATCATGATCTGAGGTCCCATACACAGTAAGTGCATAGATGTCTCATTGTGCACATTCCGTTTATTTGGGTTACCGTCTCTAACAAAAAGGAAAGTTCTGCAAGGGGGAAAAAAATAGAAGAAAAATAATTAGCACACAATTCCACTCATTACTGTGGAGTGGGAAGGGTCTATTATGACAGCTATCTTTTCTTCTTGGCAACATTTTGACTAGCCATGTGAGTGATAAATATTCTTAACAGATAATTACTACTGGACAGCTCTCCTTCATTTCTCTTAGTAGTCATAGCCAAGATCGGGACGAATTACTGAAATATCATTAAGTCCCATATATAATTACTTTGTCAATGTGTGACATAAATTTTAGTTGGCAAAGTTTATTCTACGATTTTGTATTTTATTGGAATAAATGTTATTAAGCCACAAGAATGATGAAATAGATAATTTCTTTTTTTTCTACTCTGCGTCCTGAATAGTAGCACACTTGGTAGTTTGCAAATAGATAATGCTAGAGCAACTTCTTAAAAAATCATTCTTCTTCCCTGTATCTTTAGTCAGGTGCCAAGGCAATATGAAATACTTTTCCTGCTAGCACTGCATGCATTGAGGAAAGACTCTCTTTGCTTTCTCACTCTAGAATATACGGAAGTGCAACATAATGCAAACCTTCACCTATGCGGATGACAGAGGCTGGCAAGAATTTAAGTCTTCTCTTGAATGTTTTAGAGGCAGTTCAACGTGGGCAATAAACTATACCAGCAAAAAGGATCAGCTTAGGAACGAAAGGGAAACAACAGACTAATTATTGGAATCACAACTTTAATTCTGACAGCTCCTGAGACAACACAGCTTTCTGCTGCTTCTTGCCAGCAAGGAATTACAGAAGTTACAATCCAATGCTGAAATGGAATAACTGAGACATATCATACAAACCCTGTGAATCCAAAGTTGCTTTAGCCTTTTGAGGTACACTAAAATAATTTTTTGTCTTAAGGGAGGATGAATGGTAGGAAATGGCAGCAAAGAAAGGCTGTCTCTTTGTAGGACTGGGGTCAGAGAGACAGCAATGGTGAAAGAACTCCATGTGAAGGTAGGAAGGACGGTTCCCAGAGAGGTAATGCCAGGTTAGATCAGAAGCATGGCACACATGTTCAAGTTGTCACTGCAGAAACAGTTGCACTGTTCTCAAGTCCCCCCACACATAAAACCAGCAGAACTCACTGTTAATCCCCTCTTCAGGCTGTTCCCTGACTCCAAACAGTTTGTAGGTATGAAAAAAACAGTTATTCTGGAATCCTCATTAAGTCAATACAGGGGACCAGCTTCCACCCTCCCTGCTCTCACCCCTAAGACTAATTAAAAACA